AAACTACCTCAAGTATCTTACCTGATCACCTCAAACTGTGCTTCTTCTCACATCCTGAAGTATTCCCAGGATGAACTATCTACCAAACTATTACCTAACAAACTACCTCAAGTATCTTACCTGATCACCTCAAACTGTGCTTCTTCTCACATCCTGAAGTATTCCCAGGATGAACTATCCACCAAACTATTCCCTAACAAACTACCTCAAGTATCTTACCTGATCACCTCAAACTGTGCTTCTTCTCACATCCTGAAGTATTCCCAGGATGAACTATCCACCAAACTATTCCTGAAAAGCTACCTCAAGTATCTTACCTGATCACCTCAAACTGTGCTTCTTCTCACATCCTGAAGTATTCCCAGGATGAACTATCCACCAAACTATTCCCTAACAAACAACCTCAAGTATCTTACCTGATCACCTCAAACTGTGCTTCTTCTCACATCCTGAAGTATTCCCAGGATGAACTATCCACCAAACTATTCTCTAACAAACATCCTCAAGTATCTTACCTATTCAACTCAAACTGTGCTTCTTCTCACATCCTGAAGTATTCCCAGGATGAACTATCCACCAAACTATTCCTGAAAAGCTACCTCAAGTATCTTACCTGATCACCTCAAACTGTGCTTCTTCTCACATCCTGAAGTATTCCCAGGATGAACTATCCACCAAACTATTCCCTAACAAACTACCTCAAGTATCTTACCTATTCAACTCAAACTGTGCTTCTTCTCACATCCTGAAGTATTCCCAGGATGAACTATCCACCAAACTATTCCCTAACAAACTACCTCAAGTATCTTACCTGATCAACTCAAACTGTGCTTCTTCTCACATCCTGAAGTATTCCCAGGATGAACTATCCACCAAACGTCCAACCTATTCCCTAATAAACTACCTCAAGTATCTTACCTGATCACCTCAAACTGTGCTTCTTCTCACATCCTGAAGTATTCCCAGGATGAACTATCCACCAAACTATTCCCTAACAAACTACCTCAAGTATCTTACCTGATCACCTCAAACTGTGCTTCTTCTCACGTCCTGAAGTATTCCCAGGATGAACTATCCACCAAACTATTCCCTAACAAACTACCTCAAGTATCTTACCTGATCACCTCAAACTGTGCTTCTTCTCACATCCTGAAGTATTCCCAGGATGAACTATCCACCAAACTATTCCCTAACAAACTACCTCAAGTATCTTACCTATTCAACTCAAACTGTGCTTCTTCTCACATCCTGAAGTATTCCCAGGATGAACTATCAACCAACCTATTCCCTAACAAACTACCTCAAGTATCTTACCTGATCACCTCAAACTGTGCTTCTTCTCACATCCTGAAGTATTCCCAGGATGAAATATCTACCAAACTATTCCCTAACAAACTACCTTAAGTATCTTACCTGATCACCTCAAACTGTGCTTCTTCTCACGTCCTGAAGTATTCCCAGGATGAAATATCTACCAAACTATTCCCTAACAAACTACCTTAAGTATCTTACCTGATCACCTCAAACTGTGCTTCTTCTCACATCCTGAAGTATTCCCAGGATGAACTATCCACCAAACTATTACCTAACAAACTACCTCAAGTATCTTACCTGATCACCTCAAACTGTGCTTCTTCTCACGTCCTGAAGTATTCCCAGGATGAAATATCTACCAAACTATTCCCTAACAAACTACCTTAAGTATCTTACCTGATCACCTCAAACTGTGCTTCTTCTCACATCCTGAAGTATTCCCAGGATGAACTATCTACCAAACTATTACCTAACAAACTACCTCAAGTATCTTACCTGATCACCTCAAACTGTGCTTCTTCTCACATCCTGAAGTATTCCCAGGATGAACTATCCACCAAACTATTCCCTAACAAACTACCTCAAGTATCTTACCTGATCACCTCAAACTGTGCTTCTTCTCACATCCTGAAGTATTCCCAGGATGAACTATCTACCAAACTATTACCTAACAAACTACCTCAAGTATCTTACCTGATCACCTCAAACTGTGCTTCTTCTCACATCCTGAAGTATTCCCAGGATGAACTATCCACCAAACTATTACCTAACAAACTACCTCAAGTATCTTACCTGATCACCTCAAACTGTGCTTCTTCTCACATCCTGAAGTATTCCCAGGATGAACTATCTACCAAACTATTCCTAACAAACTACCTCAAGTATCTTACCTGATCACCTCAAACTGTGCTTCTTCTCACATCCTGAAGTATTCCCAGGATGAACTATCTACCAAACTATTACCTAACAAACTACCTCAAGTATCTTACCTGATCACCTCAAACTGTGCTTCTTCTCACATCCTGAAGTATTCCCAGGATGAACTATCTACCAAACTATTACCTAACAAACTACCTCAAGTATCTTACCTGATCACCTCAAACTGTGCTTCTTCTCACATCCTGAAGTATTCCCAGGATGAACTATCCACCAAACTATTACCTAACAAACTACCTTAAGTATCTTACCTGATCACCTCAAACTGTGCTTCTTCTCACATCCTGAAGTATTCCCAGGATGAACTATCCACCAAACTATTCCCTAACAAACTACCTCAAGTATCTTACCTGATCACCTCAAACTGTGCTTCTTCTCACATCCTGAAGTATTCCCAGGATGAACTATCCACCAAACTATTACCTAACAAACTACCTTAAGTATCTTACCTGATCACCTCAAACTGTGCTTCTTCTCACATCCTGAAGTATTCCCAGGATGAACTATCTACCAAACTATTACCTAACAAACTACCTCAAGTATCTTACCTGATCACCTCAAACTGTGCTTCTTCTCACATCCTGAAGTATTCCCAGGATGAACTATCCACCAAACTATTCCCTAACAAACTACCTCAAGTATCTTACCTGATCACCTCAAACTGTGCTTCTTCTCACATCCTGAAGTATTCCCAGGATGAACTATCCACCAAACAATTCCCTAACAAACTACCTCAAGTATCTTACCTGATCACCTCAAACTGTGCTTCTTCTCACATCCTGAAGTATTCCCAGGATGAACTATCTACCAAACTATTACCTAACAAACTACCTCAAGTATCTTACCTGATCACCTCAAACTGTGCTTCTTCTCACATCCTGAAGTATTCCCAGGATGAACTATCCACCAAACAATTCCCTAACAAACTACCTCAAGTATCTTACCTGATCACCTCAAACTGTGCTTCTTCTCACATCCTGAAGTATTCCCAGGATGAACTATCTACCAAACTATTACCTAACAAACTACCTCAAGTATCTTACCTGATCACCTCAATCTGTGCTTCTTCTCACATCCTGAAGTATTCCCAGGATGAACTATCCACCAAACAATTCCCTAACAAACTACCTCAAGTATCTTACCTGATCACCTCAAACTGTGCTTCTTCTCACATCCTGAAGTATTCCCAGGATGAACTATCAACCAAACTATTCCCTAACAAACTACCTCAAGTATCTTACCTGATCACCTCAAACTGTGCTTCTTCTCACATCCTGAAGTATTCCCAGGATGAACTATCAACCAAACTATTACCTAACAAACTACCTCAAGTATCTTACCTGATCACCTCAAACTGTGCTTCTTCTCACATCCTGAAGTATTCCCAGGATGAACTATCCACCAAACTATTCCCTAACAAACTACCTCAAGTATCCTACCTGATCACCTCAAACTGTGCTTCTTCTCACGTCCTGAAGTATTCCCAGGATGAACTATCCACCAAACTATTCCCTAAAAAACTACTTTAATTTCCCCAGGGTTAAGTATCATTCAACTTGCATGGGAATGACCAAAATAATTTGCACCCTTGCGCTGTAAATGATTGTATGAATATATTTCTTTTACGGGTTCAGACAACAATTTCATGGAACAATCTGGATTTTTTGAACTGTTATACTTTGCAACTGCTTTATACTTTGCAACTAACTTTGCAACTAATTGCATACACCATGCATGAGTTTCACGCATCATTATTGTGTACGTTCATCATTGCAATGAACATATTTTTTATCTCGGATAGAATTTGTATCATGCATGGATTTTGAATTTGCATGGATTTTGAATTTGCATGGATTTTGAATTTGCATGGATTTTGAATTTGCATGGATTTTGAATTTGCATGGATTTTGAAGTTGCATGGATTTTGAAGTTGCATGGATTTTGAATTTGAATTTTGAACAAATTGTACCAGTTGAGGCATGCTATTTCTTACAAAGTTACAATGTGCAGTACCACCCCCACCACCCCCGCCTAATATAAAATATCATCCTTTCTTAACTTTTAAAACCTTTTCATGTTATTAGTGATGCTAGTGACAAAACATCCTGCTATATAGAGAACTTAGATCCTCTGTTAATAATTAATGTTCGTTAATGATTTACGATAGACAAGCAAATATTCCAGAAAATTAATATAGTATATTGAAGCATGAGTGCATGTGCAAGTCAAATGGAGGAGCGTCCACGTCGCGACTTGCGGGCAACATGTGCTTCTATGAAAACCATTTTAAATATAATAGACTTTTTGCTAAATAATTAATTTGTTGACCTGTGACAAATTTCATTGTCATTTTCCCATGAACATTTTCAATACAATTTGGTATTTCAACATCGAAGCACATGGCTGATACCTCCAATTATTTACGATATAAAACATAAGAAGTTTGGTGCTCGCGAGTATATATTTAATATCTGCTTACTTATAATTCAAAGAATTATCTTTGTACATTATACGACCGCCCACGTGCAAATTAGGTAAAAAGCAAAAGGTTGCTATGTAACCAGTGTGCACGTGCGAAGATTGTTAATACGGCATATTTTATCGGGTTTGTTGATATTACGCTGGTTTAGTGCGAGCAACATTTTAATCGGCTGTAATATCTCCGGTTGTGTAGTATTAGTATATTTTTTGAAAATCGCTGGCAATTTTAATCCAAAGATTGATCAGCCCTAATTCTACTCCTCAGATAGCAAAGCTTCAACTAATATGTCAAAACGAACAGTGAAAATGATCAACAGTGCTCCTCTAAACGAAAGTGAGTTTCGCTACTTAAAGTACCATCATACATTATGTGATTGTTACTAATACAATATTCTTATATAAGCCGCAAACCGAAACTTTAGAACTTTCCTTTACCGGTATCTGCATTCAAGCAAACGAGTTAACCTTTTTAAGTGCTCCAGTATTGATATATATATATTTCGAGTTTAATTGACATGGCGAAAAGTGGTTGATGATACCTATAACTTTATTGTCCCACATTCAAAATTTTGCATTAATTCAGCCTTACAGTTACAACGTTTGTCAGTAATTATAGAATTATTATTAACAGATGGTTTTGCGGAGTGTAAAGATGTTGGGGTGAAACCAACGGGTTTGATTCGTTCGTAAGTTAAACATGTTCTGCATGATAATCAAAGTCTGTGTGGAAAAACTATTGGACGAGGGGGTTATCATGATTACTTTTGAAGAAACACTGTTTTATATTTTTGACATTTTCGCCACCCATAAATGGATACACAATTCATATAATATCATAGTATTTGTGGAATGTGGATTGATGTGAGAGCAAGAGTATATTTTCATGAACTAACATTCATATTGTCTCAGGAACGTAAACGATAAGCTGGTTTTCGAAGCGGTACAAGGGCACGGTAGGCAGGTATGCATCTTTATTCTTTAATCGATATCTATTCTAAGTATTATTCGGCAGCGTCATCGAAATAAATTTTAAATTGTTAGTTTTATCAGCAAAAGGAGTAAACAGTTTTGAATTATTCAATATGCTTCTATCAAATACATGTTCAGTGTGAGTTCCCGGTTACGGAGCGAGGCGAATACCTCGTTTACGAGACAGAGGCAATGAACTTGAAAAACATAATGGAAATGGTAAAAATAAACATTTCATATAATCATTTTCGAATTGTTGCGTTGATAAAACGTGTTTAATTTCTATGGTGGATTAGATTGCCTTATATGGCAGTTAGGCTCTCGAACTAATGACAATTCTATCTAGGGAATCTGTAGAGTTGGTGAAGTGGTGTATCTTTCAAGAGAATATCGATGTATGCATTTTATTATATTTTTTTATTTATCGTTATTCATCAATCTACAATCAATATGAATCTTTGTCAACACTGGATAGTATAGCTTCAGCCAGCGTTCAGATCACAGCTCTATAAAAAAAGGGTGGAGGGGGGGGGGATGAAGCTACGCTACTTAGGTTTCACGTAGCACAGCAAAATAACTATTTGTACAGCAAATAATTTGTCTGTTGGTCTTGATAGTATACATCTAATTAGTTGTGTTGGTCAAGTTCACACCAATAATTCACAGATACGAGGTCAAAAAACGGAGCGTATGTTGTAATAGACTGGAAAAACGCCATAACAGGTAAGATGGTGGTGTAAGCAACAGAGAAAGGTGACTACAAAATTACGACATGACAGTGATAAACTTATTATTTTGAAGACAGTAGTCTTCAAAACTACTACATACTTGCGCTTAATAGCCAATAATATTGTGAATTAACGTTAATCAATTTCCAGTTATAGCTAAATCAAAATCCTGTTTTATTGCTTTATATTAAGAGTCTTATTATTATTATTATATCATACATTATATTCATGTTACTGTCTTTCGCAGAAGGAATGGTTTTCAAGGAGACTGAATGTGGCGGTGTGATAACGAGAGGCTTTGAAGGTGTGATACCCCCAAAGTTTGTTGCTTGGACATCAATGGGTAAATGAAACAATTTTCGATCAAAAGCTTTGATATTCCTAGAGGAAAAGCTGCATAGTTTTTTGTCACAAAGTAGGATATTTACATGTTCATAATAAACAAGAATATAATATGTCATTACTGATATCGATAATCATAATCATTTCAGATAAGGAACACCACAAAACGAGCAGCATCAATAGAAACTGGAGGAATTTACGGTTACTGATCGCTGGAGGTAAAGTCAGGGGACGATAATTGTATGATCTGCTAAAATCACATTATATTAGCACCTATTGCAACAGTTTTAAAAACTCTATTCGGTTGATCGACTTTTTCGAATTTACACAAACCAGTTTCCCCTTTGCAGATTCTAACAGCAAGCATCTTCAACTGGGTAAACTGTCGCTGGATAAGGTAAAACATGAAAATTGCCTAATACCTAGTACCTACATACCTATCCTAGAATAAATAATATATCATTTGTAGAGACCAATCAAAATTCATGTTTCCCCGAACAATTTAATAAATGGTCCTAAAATGTTCATGATATTGTAGTTTGAGGAGTTCTCGATTTCCTCACGTCCAACAATGACGTTTCTCTTATTGCTAATTTCAATAGATCTGGACATTTGCAACTTCAGGTTTTCTTTCCGACCACCTCATGGCTTCTGCTAACGAAGGACGTTGTTCTTAGAATGAGAGAATGCTCCGATATTATATTAATGATCGGTTTGAACGATATTAAACCCTCTACAACAACACTGCTAGACATGAAGAAGGTTAGAACTAATTAAAATTACACTATTATTTATAACGGTAGCTAAGCACACCAGTAACATCAAACCATTCTTAGACACTGGAAATAGAGAATTGTGTATTAGCTCAAAAGGCTGCTTTCAGCTATGCTATAATTCTTTTACAGTTTACAATAACATCCATTTAGGTATTAAGAAGGTTACTCGATTTTTTGTACGTTGTGAAAGACACTAGTGGTAACAGCCGACTATATGTGGTGGAAATACCACCAAGTTTAAGCCCCGCGATTTCCGCAAGGTCTAGGATTTTCAATTCTATGCTACACGATAAAGAGGTAAATGTAATGCTTTCAGTCTCAGAGAATTCAAATTAAAAATGCTGACTTAGTTTTTATAACCAAAAATCAATCTATTCAGTAATTATTTTAAAGCTAGATAGGTCAAACTGATTATCGGTTAGCTAATTGAATTTTTTAACAGTTGTAACAAATGATAATTCATCTCATATTTTTAGGGTCGCGAAGAATTCCCCGCAGTGCTTATTCGGACCCCAGAGCTATGGAGTTCTGGTTCACTCAAATCAGAATACGGATGTGACGAAAGGATACCATTGCACCTCAACGCACAAGGCATCCAAGTTTTAGAGAAGAGTGTCGGCTATGCCGTGAAACGACACTCTGGGGTTTCAAGATGGAGAGGTGCCGCTAAAAGGACATATTAATATGAGGACACATTATAATAACAAGAGTTTATACTGAAATCTAAGAGTGGAAAGTAATTTTCTTTGTCGGTTTTAGACCAAAAAAAGGTGATATTTTAACCAAAACCCAAACATTGGGTAGGATTGAGCGTTGTCAATGTGTGTGCATGCAGGGCAAAACTAAATTATGATCAGATGACTTAATTATATTCGTTATAACTCCAGTTCCAACTTCCACGATTTAATGTAAAATAAAGTAACTCTTTATATAAATTACATAGATAGTTAATAAAACGAATAGAAGATGTGATATAAAAAAGTGACCGTTCTTGTCCCGTCACAGCGCTCGCTTGCTTTGACCGTCATGTCACCAAATCATGAACTTAAAACGTCAGGCCTAGCCCTATCAATAATTATGAAAATAATTAAAATTTACAAGTCAATTTTTAACATAAGAAAGACCGTGAAATATCTGGATCGGAACAATATTTATTAGTCACATAGCCGTTTTGTTACACTTACTAGCCACTAGGTCAAATTTGTATTGATCCAGTTTATTGCAACAAGGAATACAGTCTTATCATTTCCTGATAACAGCCTTTTCTTTGTTGCAATAAACGGGATCAATAAAAATTATGTCTAAGTATAGTACAACAAATACCAATCATCATAATTTAAGTAACATTTTGTTTTTCCATGTGTCACACTGATTTATCCATTATAACTGACCTAACCTATATTTGTGTGCTCTGGTATAAAATAAATTAAAGTCAGGCTTCATAAAACTCAAAAAGTTCATCGTTCAATTTACACTCCATTGCAGGATCGATTTCAAAATGGACGATATAATAGCTAATTAAGCTTAAGTAGATAAAAAATATCCATACTCGATTTTATTTTATTGTATGATCAATAATCATTGTGCAACTCTTTTAGCTCCTTTGGTGCCCAGTAACAATTGGTTTCACTAACTTAGTTTATAACTTTGTGCTGTCATTCTAAACTCTAGAGAAGTCTAAACTCCACGCTTTAAAGTTACTTTCAAAGCTTTTGTTTTGAAATTCGGAATTAAATAATTTGATTGTGATTTGTGACAAAAACAGTTTTAATTTTATTTTTTAAAGTTTAGACAAATACAGACATTTTCTATGAACATAGTTAAATTTTTAGTTCGGTTTAGATTTTTATTATTAATACTATACTACAACAACAAGTTTTTTATTCTGCTGTAAAACTAAAAATACCACTTCTTTCAAATCCAATAAATTTTCGTGAGTGATTTGGTGACATGACGGTCAAAGCAAGCGAGCGCTGTGACGGGACAAGAACGGTCACTTTTTTATATCACATCTTCTATTCGTTTTATTAACTATCTATGTAATTTATATAAAGAGTTACTTTATTTTACATTAAATCGTGGAACTGGAGTTATAACGAATATAATTAAGTCATCTGATCATAATTTAGTTTTGCCCTGCATGCACACACATTGACAACGCTCAATCCTACCCAATGTTTGGGTTTTGGTTAAAATTAAAGTATATTAAAATGTAGGATATTTTCCGATTTTATACCGGGGATATACTTTAATATACTTTAATATGGTTGGCCCCCCCCCCCCCCCCCCCCATCCATTGGATCTATGCGATCTCCTCGGTTGACTCAGCCGAATGATAGGAAACTTAATTGAGGGTTAAATGAGAAGCGAGGGGTACCTATTAAAAGTTCAAGAAACTTTCTAAGATACCCCTTCAGTGCATACTGTAAACATATTGACCTCCGGAGGTATGCTCAGCACTGAGTTCGTAGATCGTGTCTCTGAGATGATAGCTGACCAAAAAAAGAAGCCAAAAGCCAGGTCAAAAATCATATCAGAACACGATTCAGATTTGATCTGTTAAGAAGTACACTCATTACACTGAGGGGAATCAGAGGAAGAACAACGGCCCAGCATCAGTGGCGTAACGAAAGGCCCTGCTGACCCCGCTGTGCAGGGGGGCGCCGTCTTAGGGGGGCGCCAAATCGTCGTTTGAATGTGGGACAATTTCGAAAACTTAACTAAAGTACTAGCAAAACTGCGCGTTTTGCTCTAGATACACACTTTTTTAGAGATTTTACCGGCGTATTCTTTAAAATCACCTAATTTGTTCAATTTTAGGGAGGGGCAACAAAAGGGGAGGGGGCGCCAACAGGGGGCGCTTTTTTCGGCAGGGGGGCGCCAACAGGCAATGTTACGCCACTGCCCAGCATCTTGAACTGCAAGACGATTCCTTCAACCTCATCCCTCAGAAGACGAGCTTTGAGGTTTTCTAGATTTGTTAGTGTAAATTTTTTAGATATTTTATTGTACTATTTAGTTGATGCACCTTTCACAAGCAAGAGCCACTTTGGTCTACTTGCTGTGAGGTGTCTCAGCTACATGGGTTGGGGGTCCCCCCTTTAAAAAATCATATTGTATCATATTACTTCACAACACTAAAAACTGAGGGGGATGGTTGGAGATTTGTCTGATAGAGCTCTTGTTGTTTTTTATCTTTTGGTTAACTTTCTGTGATTGGACTCGGTATTTTCGTCCCAGCGAGTGGGACGTTGTTGCTCGCCAGTAAAACAGCTATACTGCAAGTAGATGACACTAATTTTTCTACAACCACAAAATATTAAATTATAATTGTGTCTGTATGGCGCATAATGGACATAATTTGATATTCTCGAGCCGTCGTGGCGGTGAGAGTTATTCTGAACCACTGCATGCCCCTACGATTGCTCACCTTGTGAGCTCAAGCATTTGTTTGTTGTTGTGTTGTGTTGAAAGGGAAAAATTACTTGACTTTAATTCATCATCGCGATTTTAATCAGATGAGCTATGAATATAACGATTCACTTTAGTAATGGATCAATCTTATTATATGATTAGATCTTTATAAAACAAACGATCTTGGCATACAATAGATTATAATGCGGGGTTGGTGGATTTCTATAATAAATTCGACACTTCAATTTACAGAATGCTTGATAGAGTAAGCAAAATTATTATCAGACTTTTCACTGCGCATGAGTAACTGGTGGATAAGCTTCGGTAAAAGCGGATCGGACAAAAAAGTCAATGCGGCACTGGGTTTGGTATGTCGGTCGTTTCTTATTGTCCATTATCTACGTTTACTGCTTGTGTAGTTATAAAACAATAGTGAGTTTCTAAATATACGCTTTAAACGATTTAGTATGAATTGAATGAATCTACTGTCAATCAGCACTCTTATAACCAAAAGCATGAGTAACTGTAGTGATGTATGATTTCTAGATACTTTAATAATTTTGGCGCTCACAGGGTTCCTCAAGACATGATTGCGGCTAAGGTTACTGCTAACTGCGCAGGGACCTTCAAGCTTAAATTTATTCAACTTATGAGGCAGTCTAACCAACGCGTGGCTTTATTTTTATTGATATTATAGTTTTGATTTTAGTAATAAATTCCAAAATTTAAATTTGTTTTAACAAAAAAAATTTGTTGTTCCAATTTTCGACAATATTTTAACGGGCGTACTTGTTAAAAGTTATTTGATTTAAATATTACCGTGGACGAGTCCCAAATGGCGCGGTCGGTAGGTTATAAACCTTACAACAAAAAATTGATCAACGAAAGTCAATCTTATAGTTGCAAAACAACAATATTGTCGATGTGCGACGCAATGCAAAATTTAAATATTTCGACAAAAGCTATATTCAGCAATTCATATTAATTGTGCTTTTTACGGGCGAAAAATAGTGAAAACTTGATAAACTAATAATATTTTTGAGCTTTTTTTTCTTCTTTCAAAAATCAAGAGTGATACTCGTAAAATAGTTGTTTCAGTTTTAAATACTTACAACACTACTATATAAACACAATAATTTCTAGGTCCCAATGTCAAAGCGATGAAGAGATATGACGTGCCGTTTGTATCCTAGCCAGGCATCTATTCCTGGGCTACAAGTATTGGACTTCGCCATTTTCACCTCCTCACGCCTTTTCTCCTCCATTTCATCACATCACTATGGATCTGAATTCTAGTTACAATGTTTTTAAAAATCGTTTTCATTACAATGAGCTGAAAGCTCTCACGGCAGTGTTGAGAATGTCATGAAACTTAAGAGAAAATTCTGTTAAAATGCGAGGTCTTCTTGGAGTTGCAATCAGATTTTGTTTAGAACACAAGAGTGTTAACATGGACGTGGATGGTCTGAACTTGAATCACTTAGGCCAGCAAAACTGCTGTTGAAAAATGCCTCTAAGTGGCTCACTTCGACTGGAGAAGAATATGTATGGTCTTCTTCAAATGGTCACACCAACGACTAGGGAGCCAATCGATCTGTTAAATTATCTTGGGATATCTGAGCTTATGCTTTATATACATCTCCAAGTTTTGGCTGCAAGCTAAATCAATGCCTAGGCAAGCATGTACACAGTTGGTTCTTGTGCAATCTAGGTACCACAACGACGACGTGGTGTTTTGACCGTCGAAAGGTATTTTTCTATGTAGTTTCATTTGGAGCTGAGAGGACCATCGACATAATTCCAGAAGAAGGCGGATAGCGATGTAACAATAAATGCTATATCACCCCAAAAGGATGACAGTTTGTATATATGAAACCGGGGTGTCAGGAATTTGTCTTCACAAGGTTGTGCAGAGAGCCTCAGTTTAATGGGCTCGGCTAATTGCTGATACTTTTCGCGGCCAGATACAAGACAGATACAATAATGTATGTCAAGAGCCAGAGGCCCGCACTACAATTCACTTATGCCGCCCACACCACTCAAACACCACTCAACCTTTTACCTACCGAAATACTCCAAGATAACCGTAAGAGCAGGAAAACCACTGTTGTTTGGTACCGTCAATGACAAAATTAGTACTGGGACAATTAAGTTGGATTCCGGGGACGGAAAGTAAATCAATGTGTCTCAAGTGGTGCAAAAATTATGAGAATCACGTAACATTCATAATTTTCATAAAACTCATGCAGCTGCGGAAGCTGACGATATTGAAAAAATTTATTGAGTGTTGGTACTAATGACATTTACATTCTAAGTATGGGGTACAGATCCTTAGGATGTATCTCACTGAATTAATTGACCCAATAAAGCAGTTATTTCC